CCTGTCATTGTAGATTAGCCGAGCCTATCTTAGTTGCATTTTGCATGTGTTGCATTAGCCATCTTAACATGAACTAGGATCATGCACTGATTACTAATTAGCTTCTGTTTTGGCTTGGAGTACTCCTATATAATGATTATGAAGATTTTCAAAGGAGATCATGTTATCTTTGATTATTCATTGATCATATTATGTTTGATTACAATGTATGTATCCATGGTGTAATGTATGCTCCAGTATTCTTATTATTCACCGATTTAGTAAAGCTCATCCCATTCATTTACATATTTCAGAGGATGAAACTTGAGATTTGGATTCTAGAATTTGTGTGCATTTGTGTAATATGGTGATCTGAATGAAGTTGTGCTATGTTTAATTATGAGGTACAACGTATTATCTCTATGAGACAACGGCGTGTATGTGGATGTGGCCTGCGGGAATGGCCAGGTTGTAATGACTTGTTCTATCAAGCCTTTTGGGTAATGAAATGAAGATTGGGACTTGGGCACTTGCTCTGATGAATGGATTATGATATGTACATCAAGTAACAAAAAAAAAAAAAAAATAGTGAAACACCGAAACTCACTGAAACACCACAAAACATACTGAAACAAGGAGTTGAGAATTTATTTCTATTTGCCACTTTCTGTCAAAAGAATTTATTTGAGAATAAACAAAAAAAATTAAATATAGTAGAGAATCTAAGAAACTAGAAAGGAGAAGGGGACAGATAGAAAGGAGAACATACAAAAAGCATAATTAAGTCACTTGTTCTCTTCCTTTGTTACCGCAAAGTACTTTTTCTATTTTTGTTTTTCCATCCTTAATAGTACTAGAATTTTGCAAACCTATTCCCAATATAAAGCCTTTAACCCTTTTGTTCATGAACTTTTAATATTCATAGGCCTCAAAATATTCAACTATTTAATTATTGAAAATGTATTAACATTTATATGGGTTTTAGTTTTTCTTTCTAGGCATTTTTCAAATGTTTTCAATTTTTTTTTCTTCTCATTTCCTCATGTTTCTGAAATATATCCACAATGTTTCCAAAAGTTTCCATTTCCAAGCTAACCAAAACAACATACCGAAACGAAATTTTGATCCTTGATGTACATCAATTATCCCATGTTTATTATACACTTTTGATATATTATTATGAAAAATGAATACATATCGGGTGCACAATACTTCAGTTTAGCAAGGCCTCAGGTAGCAATTGCTACTGACCGATCATAAACATCAACAATGTATGATGTGGGCTGAGGGTTGTCAAAATATGTGGTCAAACAATAATTGTTTTTGTAAGTGCATAGTAGGAAACTGAGTAAAAACTACTACTTGAATTTTTCCTGTTCGACTATTATTTTGGGATGGAAGACACATATATGTCAATATTTCTGTGATGGATAATTGGTACAAGAATGGGAGTTCACAAAAGAGTCAATAGAAAGAGGAAGGATGGATAGATTTTTTTATCATTTCATAGGAACAGAAAGACAGAAAGGAAGAGAGAAATGAAGGAATTCCCCTCTTGCTTGGTCCACCAGGTGCCTTCTATTTTATCTATCCCACAAAAGTGGGCAAAAAGAAGGCAATGGAGGAGAGAAGACCTTTCCTCTTTTTTTTTTTTTCTTTTTTTTTTCTTTTTTTCTTTCTTTCTTTTCAAACAACAACACTTCCTTAATATACAAGGGCATACCAATAGTATCGACACCCCTTACACCATACATTCCGATCATTCTTGCAAAAAGAAGGGAGGCAATTTCCATTGCCCAAGGATTAAATTTTAGATCATTTTCATCTTCCCTTCCAATACCCCATCTGTCCGACCAAAGACCTTAAGTTTCTAAGTGTGGGAGAACAACAGAGAACCACATAATGAAAGTAATAAGGTTCAAACAATTTCCTTGAAAACAGGGGTCTCTAAGTGATTCTTCTTGAAATTATTTGGGGGAATTACACTGACAGTGTGTCAGTGGAAAAGATTTACAAAAAAGTGAAAAACATTATAAATATTAATAATTGAAATCATAAACTTTTTCATTATTTTGTAAATAATTTTGAAGTTACAACTGAAGCGTTATTTCCCCAAATTATTTAAAGGTGGACTGCAAGTACCAAAATGGTCTACATACTATGCTGATTATTGTCAGAACATAAGCTTTAAGAATAGAAGTTCAACCTGGCCAAAATTTATTTCATGGTGAAGCTAAGATTTTACATAACCATGGACAGACATCAACATCATAAATACGAGCACATACTAAAAAACGATAACATAAGAGGACATCATTTATCAGTTAGAGATTAGTATCTCGTTGTTTTAACAACCAACCAACAGTCTGAGAAGCACATATCCATTAATTACAGTTGAATTGGTGTTATATGTGCAAATAGAATGAGGAATCGGTAAATCATTTGCTTGCCCATTGCCATGCGATGAGAGAAGCTTTGGAGTTCAATGTAATATTAGTTTAGGGTGGGGTGTGTATTTCCTCATGGACTAGTTGAGCTCCTTCACAGTTGGTAGGGTTCAAGTGAGGAAGCATAGGAACTAGTTGTGGATGTTGATTTCCTTGTGCCTAATGTGGATTATATGGATGAGCGGAATTGTATGCCTTTCGATGGTATAGAGGTTCCAATGTATTGGGCAAATTCATTTATAAGCTATTTGTATAGTTGAGATTTGGGAGTCAGAAGTAGTTTGGATGTGGAGGTGTATAGTTTTTTTTTTTTTTTTCCTTTCCTTTTTCCTTCTCTTTTGTGTGTGGTAGCATTCCATCAGTGACATTTTTTTAGCAAATTTTTGTCCAAAAAAATCAAAATATATGCCAAAAACAAATACCTGCATGGCACCAGCACCAAGAACAAGCTGACAAGTTCTTGTATTGAAAAACTTCAAGATTTCAACTACACGATGAACAACTTCCGAAGACAGCACTGGCAAATAATTACTCATATCTATGTACTCCGACAACATCTTCAGCAAAATTAAGCCGCTGATAAGCAAGAAACGCCGTAAAGTTAGTTCACTCAGTAAATTTCTTTAATGCTCATTGAAGCTGGATTCATGGAGATAAATATTGGATGAGAAATTAAAAAAGACATATCAGTCACAATTGGAGATTAATCAATTATCGAATATGAAGACCGTATTGAAAATTAAATAGCTCTGAATATGGTATCAGCTAATCCTCAGAAAGATGCATAAAAAACAATTATTATGAGAGGAAAACATACCAACTGCAATGGGAATCTGAGATTCTATAGGAAGAAGGAAGATCGAAGGACAGATGACAAAAACAAGAAAAGAACAAGATAATGGTAAAACAAGAAAACTAACCAGTTTACCATGTGATAACCAACACCTCTGAATAAAAGTGTTTGAGAGGAAGATTTTCCACGTTGCTTATTGTTAGTGCTGTTGCTCTGACCCAGAGAAGTTAAAACATCAGATTTATTGTTCTCAGTTGGCTCAATCACGGGCAAAGAATTCACCCGTGCAGTGTTATCTGTAGATGATTCAATAGATTTAGTTTGGGCAATAAGGTGCTGAGAATTTGATGGTTCAGTCTGTCTGCCATGAGTGAACCATCATTGCTTAAGGCCATTTCAATGTAACCTGTTTGCAACATTACCTTGACCATCATCTGTGTGCTCAGCAGTTAAAGGCTCAGAACAAAACAGAGAAGTGACGATGGCCTGAAATTCATCAGGAACATCCACTTCAACCCAAGTTTCTTGGTCAAGTACCGCCTTGATTTTTGCCATCTATAACAAGCAGTGAAATAGCAAGTCCCGTAACGAGGTGTAACATGCCACTAAAAACTAGTGAATACAGAGGAACAAAAGCTAACCTTAGATTCATGCTGGAAATCAACAAAAGCCTTGGCCTGTGACTGTAGCATTCCTCGAATGCTATATCCCAACCTTCCACCAATCTGTTTATGTCAGTAATTTGGCATCATAACCACAAACAAATTGAAAGTCACCTTCACAGTGGAAAAATTAAGAGAAAAGATACTATCCTAAAATTATAAAAATAATAATAATAATAATACCTTCTCAGTAGCAGTTATGAACTCCTGGGTGATATTATATATGCCTAAGAACTCCTGCAATCTCAACCTAGGATGAAGAAGAGCACGGACCCCAAGAAGCTTTGCCCATCTTCCATGAGCAGCGTCACAAGCTGCAAACACAGCTTCTGTGTTTTCTCGCAAAACATCAGCTCTGTCAAGGAAAATAATATCAGATAATTTCAAACATTTGGCGACATACTTTTTGCAAATATTGAAAAAAAGATTATAGATCAAACCCATGACAAACAAGCCAACAATCCAAAGAACAGTTTAGGAAGCAGTTAGTCAATTTTGAGAACGAATATTGAAAATCCCAATGCAAATACAGACTTTTCAGGAGTTCAACACAACCACTCAAGAAACTTAAACTAATCAGAACAATGTAGATCCAAATAAGGACAATTAGCCTAGATCTAGAGATAATTATCAAATCCATCATTAAAATTACAATAAAATGTAAACGATTAAATTGACAAGAGACAAACAATTTTAACGTGGAAAACCTTAATTGAAGATTCAATTCAGGAAAAATCCACAGGCACAAAAGTTGAGTGATTACAGAAGTTAGCTTACAATCCCTTAAATGAATCAACATCCCACGGATCAAAGACCATCTTGCCGAGTCCACGTTCATCACTCCAGGTTCCCTTGCCTTGATTCACCTTGTCAGAATCCACTAACAATCTCCCGAATCACCTTTGAGAACCACCAAAAGACTTACAAGAGAAAAGTATGAAAGGTTTGAAGTGTAATTGACCTTGAAGAACTCACTCCATCACCATAGATTCATAGATCTGTCAATTTCTTTCTCCATGAGCTTTGAGATTGTTTTCATCCTTGGAGAGAGAAACCCCAGTCAGTCAGTCAGTCAGCTAAATCTGGATCAGATTGCATGACAAAAGTGTCCAACCTGACCTTGACTGCTTGAGCGCACACTTCATGGCTCAAGAAGTGACCTCATTAACTCTACCACGTGGCAAAGTCTTGATCACCCCAATGCACTCAACCTTAGGTCCAAAACAAGTGGAGTTGCCTTAAATAAGAAGCAAAACAGAACCTATAGACTAGAACAATTATAACTTAACAAAATTAAAGGATTGCATCCAAAAAGAGTTTGTCCAAACGGAATTGCCAAACAAATTACCTAGACTCAAGAACTCTAGGACTAACATATATTTATCAAAGAGATAAGAATTTGAAAAAAAAAAAATAGTCGTCATGCATGCACATGTGCTAGATTCCGCCTAAGGCCCTTGCGTGTCCTTATCGTTGCACTAATGTGTTGTCCGAATAAGGCAATGTCTTGGTCAGCAAGCACATGTGGGCCTTCATTTGATAGCCCACATGTGCAGCATTGCCTCTTTGCCTCATGCCTTAAGCCACAAGTACCACATGTGCAAGGCCGAACCCAAACCTAGCTCGTGAGTTGGCACATGAGGCTCGAGGTGCCGCCTCGATAGCTCAATCGGTGTAAGGACACCCCCAAGAAGACGTGGGACATCAGGGATGCATGTCCATAAACCTCATGTCGAGAAGACCACGAGGTGCTGGCACTCATGCCCCTTGATGGCACTGTCCATGGGGCTCCCTATCCCACATGGAGACCTTGAACACCTCTTTTTGGTGCCCAAAGTCCACCCCCAATCTCCCTTGGGGATGCCCACTACAGATTTTGGCCCAAGGAGGCTGGCATGTGGCTCTCCACTCCACCCTTAATATAGCACTTTGAGCCTTCTTCAACTTGGCAAAAGGAAACATGCTTTATGTTTGAGGAGTCATAATAATTTTTCAAAAATTCCACAAATTGAGAAAAATCACCAAACTTGGATGCAGAAACTCTCCACCCTAGGGCTCATCCCAAGAAAACTTTTGGCCTTTAACTCAGTCGTTTGGTGCCTCAAACTCACTGTCAAAATCTGCCCCAATAGGCTGCTGATGCTGGTGTGGGCGCGAGGGCGGGTGTGGGCTGCTGCTGGCTGCTGTTGCCATGCATGCATTGGGCAGATTGGGGCCAACCTTCGGGCCAAGTTGGGGTGTCGAATCAATGACTTGGAATCTCAATGCCATTCTCAAAGACACTTCCAAAGGCCACACAGGACATGCAAACCGTCACGGAATTGGCCTCGAGAGGGAAATCCGCGACACAGTGGAAAGTAGTTTCCCAAATTCCAACCATTTTCAATCAAATCAAGAAAACAAACCACAGAAGGCAAGAAAAAATAGATTGCTTCTTTCCAAACACAATGAACTGCTCTTGCACTACTTCCTTAATATACCTTTTTATGGATTTACCAACCCCAAGTAACTATCTACAATGGATCTCGATGCACTGATTGCAAACAAAGACTGGCGCATTTATGAAGAGGTATTTTTGGATGTATTTTTTTGTTGTTGGTTTTTTTTTCTATGTTTTCTATTTGAGTTAAGGGAATTTTTGTATTTTGTTCTCTCTTAATAGTTAGGGTTGTTTTCTATTTATTTTGTATTAAACACATTTTGTAACAGACGTTGGATGAATAGTATTGTAATTTTCTCCTCTTCTAGATAACATCATTGTCAACGTCATATCCAACAAAACCTCTTCTAAGAATAAAGAGCTTATGAACCAAGATAATAAAAAATAAAAAAATGAAAAATTCTTAACACCAAATTTCAAGAGGATTGCATAATTTATGCCACACTGCACAGCCAAATTAATAGAAACAGAGTGGGGATGCTATCGTTAGAAGTATGGAAATTCGCATGTGGTGAATTGGAGAAATTATAGATCTTCATGGAAATTCTTCTTTTTTTATTTTTTTATTTTATGTGATATATATTCAAAAAAAGAAGCACCAAGGGCGTGCCACCCATGTACAAAATAAAGGTCAAAACTATACATTAAACTGCTGTAAAAGCTCAATAAAAGCCCAAAATTGGTCCCAAGGATGGGTCAACCCACCCGAGAACAAACTATAAGAAATAACAAAAAATATGCTTTTTAAAACAAAAATAAGAGTCACAACTCCATCAAAAGTTCTATTGCACTAAATGGTTCACATTAATGACAAGAGGCCCAAACACCAAGACCTCTTTCAACTGCTTTCAACTCTGGCTCCCTTCCAAGAGAATAACAACTTCAAGACAGAAGAAGGGAAGACCCAAGACATCTCAAACAAAGCAAGGAACAAAGACCAATCTAGTGGGCCACTGAACAATGAATACGAAGATGGTCCATTGACTAGCCATTATGATAATATTAGGTTAGGTAATGTTTCCTTTTTTGAGAGATTGTATAGGTGTATATATATGCCAGTGTTTCCTTTAGGTTTGATTTATATATATGGCAGTGTTTTAGGTGTATATATATTACAGTGTTTCCTTCACTCTTAGGGTTAGGTTTACTATATAATCAAATGTATTCTTTGAATTATTACACAATTGAATATAGAGATCCATTCAGAAAACTTACATTGTATCAGAGCTAGTTTTCAAACCCTAGTAGCCATCATGAAATCCTTTCTAGTTCTGACTTTTGGTTCGACTCTATTCTCTGGACTTGATTGAACTCTTTAGTTAGCATTAAGTCAAGCCTTTGCTTCGATTAGGCTCGCGAGACCCATCTAGTACATCGAAGGTCATTTGCTTCAAAGAACCCAGTTCATCCCTCTCTAGTTCTTTGGGCTCTTGCCTCGTTTGTTTCATCGAGCACATCTGGGTGCTAGTTGTGACCCATCGTCGTAACCCGTCTAGGTTGTGAAGATCCTCGTCGCAGCCCATCTGAGTCGAGAGGACTCTAGTCGTCTGTCTCTGCCTCTCTCGTGCCTCGCGTGAAGGTCTGCTCCCTCTCTCTCTCATCTCGCGGAGGTCTATTTCTCACTCTCTCATCTGAGTCTGGAAATCTGTACTATAATAGGAGTTGATTTTGGTTTGGCTCCTCAAATTCTTCCTTTATTATATTTTTCTCTTCAGATTCTTCCTTTATTATACTTTAGCCTCATAACTTCTATAAACTTTGTTTTAATTACAATGTCAGACACCAAAATTCAAGCCATCTCATGCAAACTCACTGGTGCCAATTATGCCTATTGAGCCAGTGTTACAAAGAATTTTCTTCTTGGTTAGAAAAAATGAGGCTACGTTTCTAGATCTGTTCCTTGTCCATCAAACCAGAAAAAAGAAGAATATCTGACTTCTTGTGACACTTGGGATTGTGATAATGACCAAGTTCTGACATGGTTTCATAGTTTTATGGATGACTGTATGGGGATGATGTTTTCTAAATACAATACTACCAAAGAGGTGTGGGATTCTTCATAAAGTTTTTATTGATAGTCCAACTTTGCCAAGCGGTATGAGTTGGAAACAGCCATTCAGGGTGCTCATCAACGGGATCAGTCCATTCAGGACTTCTATATAGAGATGACAAGTCTTTGGGATCATTTGGCTCTTATGGAACCATCAAGCCTCAAGTTTTAGATGCTTATATTGAGTTTCGGGAACAGGATCGTTTAGTGTAGTTTTTATCGGCTCTCTCCCCTTAGTATGAGGTTATCTGTGGTGGCATCCTTTACCAGTCTCCTCTTCCCTCTGTGGATATTATTGTTCGTGAGCTCCCCTTAGTCAGACTTTGTCTCTATCTGTTTTCTTGGATCCTACTCAGCCTTCTTTGTTGTCGACCCCACTATCTCATTAGCTTCCGACCACTACAAAGCCCAAGAAAGGGCCCCCTAACTTTCGATGAGTGTGTTTTCTACCATCAAAGGGGCCACTGGAAGTACAACTATCCTAAGAAAGGTCGTGCGTCTTCTCAGCAGTCTCAATCACAATCCCGAGCTCCTACTCAAAATAACTTTCGCCCTCCTGCCACTTATATTACATCTACTCCGGCTCTAGATCCTGACTTGGCTTCCTTAAGTGCTCAGATTGCTCAGCTTCAGCACCTCTTGTCCACCTCTCAGCCATTCCCATTTGCCTCCTCTCTTCATTCAGGTTTGTTTGGGTCCTCTTCAGGTATATTTTTTTCTGTCGGGCTTTTTGACTCTAGTGCTTCTCATAATATGACTCACCTTTCCTTACTTCAAAACTGTATCCCCCCTCCCTTTCCTATTACTATTAATATTGCTAATGGGTCTGGTATGTCTATTCTGTCTATTAGGTCAGTCTTACCCCCTGCCATGTCTGCAGTTACTATTCCCTCTGTTCTTTATGTTCCTCAGTTATTTGTCAGTTTATTATATATCAGCCAACTTCATAGTTCTGGTTTTAATGTTATTTTTTCCTCTTCTGTCTGTTGTGTGCAGAATCGGGTGTCCAAGAAACAGTTTGGGACTGGCCGTAGAGTTGGAGATCTCTATCTGGTAGAAACTTGCATCTCCCTCTATTCATCTATCCAGTTGCACTTTCCTCGTTTCAATTAGATTCTCAATCGAGTCAGTTTTATTTATGGCATTCTTGCCTAAGTCATTTGTCTGTTGACCACTTACGGTCTTTAGCTCAGTCAAGAGTGTTGGGTAAAGTTTCTCCTGATCAAATTGATGAATGTCGAGGGTGTAAATTTGCCAAAATGTCCACCTTACCATTTAATAAAAGTACTTCTATTTCTGTTTCTCCTTTTTCTCTCATGCATACTATTTCTGTTTCTCCTTTTTCTCTTGTGCATACGGATGTCTGGGGACCCTCTCCTATTCTCACTAAAAGGGGTTCTGCCTATTACGTGTCTTTTGTTGATGATTGCACCCACTATACTTGGGTTTACCTTATGACTCACAAATCTGACTTCTACCAAATATACCGCACCTTTCAGTCTACGATCACTACACAGTTTGGAGTTACCATTAAATTGTTACGACCTGATTTGGGTAGGGAATATTTTAAAACTGAGTTCTGTGAGTATCTGGCCAATTTAGGTACCATTCACCAAACTTCCTATGCTGATACTCTTGCCCAAAATGGTCGTGCTGAGAGCGTAAACATTGTCATTTTCTTGAGACAGCTAGATCTCTCCTTTCTACCTCTGTTCCGGCTCCCTTTTGGAGGGGAAGCCGTTCTTACCGCTGCTTTTCTTCTTAACCATATGCCTACGCCCTACTATCTGGTCGTTCTCGTTATGAGACTCTATTTTTCCAACTTTCTAATTACTCTCTCCTTTATGTTTTTCGGTCTGCATGTTTTGACCTTCTTTCCCAGAAAGATTGGACAAAACTTAGTGCCCGATTTGTCCTCGGTTTGTCCTATGTGTCGTTTTGGGTTATAGTCTTACTCATAAAGGCTATCGCTGTTACGATCATGTTTTCCGTTGCCTTTATATCTCCCGCCATGTTGCCTTTTTGGAACGTCTAGCTTACTTTCAGCTTCCGCCTCTCACGACTCCAGTTTCCAAAGAGGATTTGGTTCACATTGATCTATTTCCTTCTAATGTCCCTCCTGATGAATACATCTCTACTATTCCCCATGAGCTTGTTCCCTCTTCTCCTTCTAACCTCCCTCCTGCTGAGTCCTTCTCCACTGTACTCCATGCGTCTAGTACATCCTCTCCACCTTCTCCCCCTCCATTGTTAGTCTATTCTCGTCGCAAGGCTCTCCCTCTACCAATTGTCTCTACCCCTGCTGCTAATCCCCCTTCTTCTGACGACTCTAATCTTGCTAACCATAAGTATCCCCTTCACATCCATAAACAGGTAATCAAACTTGATTTTACTAAAACATGTTTTTCTCCTTCCTACTGTATGTTTTTGTCTGCTATACACTCTTTTCAGAACCTCAGTCTTACAAGGAGGCCTGTCAGGATCCTCATTGGATTCAAGTTATGGAGGATGAGTTGTCTGCTTTGCAGAAAACTAGTACTTGGGAGTTGGTTTCTTTCTCTGCTGGTAAGAATCTAGTTGATTGCAAATGGGTCTATAAAGTCCAAACTCATTCTGATAGTTCTCTTGAGCGCTACAAGGCTCGCCTGGTTGCCAACGATTTTTCTTAGGAGTATGGTATTGATTATAAGAAGACCGTTGCCCCTGTTGCCAAGATGACTAATGTCTGCATTTTGATATCTGTCGCTGCTGTTCATCATTGGCCTCTTTATCAGATGAATGTTAAGAATGCTTTTCTTAATGGTCATTTCGCTGAAAAGATTTACACGTGTCCTTCCCCTGGCCTTCACCATTCCTCTGGATAGGTTTGTCGTCTTCAGCGTGCTCTGTATGGTCTGAAGCAATCTCCTCATGCTTGGTATGATCGCTTTCAGACTACTGTTACTGAGCTTAGGTTTCATCCTTCTGCCCAGGATTCTGCTTTGTTTCTCCTCCATACCTCTGTTGGGTTTGTTGCCTTATTACTGTATGTGGATGATATAATTATTATTGGCCCTGATTCTTCTGCTATCTCTGAGGTCAAGTAGCATCACTTCCGCACCTTTGAAATGAAGGATTTGGGCCCATTGCGGTACTTTCTTGTTATTGAGGTGACTTCTTCTCCCAATGACTACTTTTTGTCTCACGCCAAGTATGTTAATGAAGTTATTAACCATGCTAGTCTTACTGGTATTAAGATTGCTGATACCCTCATTGAGCTTAATGTGAAACTTAATACTACTGATGGTGTTCCTCAGCCTGATCCTACTTTATATGGGGAACTCATGGGTTGCTTAGTCTATCTGATGGTTACTCATCTTGATCTTGTCTATGTTGTTCATGTGATTAATTAGTTCATTTCTGATCCTCGTTCTACACATTGGGCTACTTTGGTTCAGATTCTTCGCTATCTTCGTAGTACTATCTTCTAAGGATTGTTGTTGTCCTCTACTACTTCCTTGGCTTTAGTTGCCTATGTTGATGCTGATTGGGCTAGTGATGTTACCGATCTTAAGTCCACTTTTAGTTTTTGTATTTTTTTGGCGATTCCTTGATTTCTTGGAAAAGCAAAAAATAAACTGTTGTTGCTCGTTCTACTGCCGAAGCTGAGTGCCATGCTATGGCTTACGCTACTGCTAAAGTTGTCTGCCTTTGTTGTTTTCTCTCTGACTTGGGCGTCCCTCAGTCTTCTCCGACCTCCCTCTATTGTGATAACCGTTGTGCTATTCAGATTGCCCATAACATTGTCTTCCATGAGTGAACAAAGCACATTGAGATTGATTGTCACTTTGTCTATCGGCATCTGCAGTCCGGCTCTATCTCACTTCCTTTTGTCACTTGAGCTTTGCAACTTGTTAATTTTTTTACCAAGACTCACACCACTGCACGATTTCAGTTTCTTGGCAAACTCTCAGTATTTTCTGCTACAACACCTTAAGTTGAGAGGAGGTGTAAGAATATTAAGTTAGGCAGTGTTTCCTTTTTTCAGAGATTGTATAGGTATATATATATGGCAGTATTTTAGGTGTATATATATATGGCAATGTTTCCTTTAGGTTAGGTTTATATATATGGTAGTGTTTTAGGTGTATATACAGTAGTCTTTCCTTTAGTCTTAGGGTTAGGTTTACTATATAATCATATGTATTATTTGTATTATTACACAATTGAATATAGAGATTCATTCAGAAAACTTGCACCCATATCTTACATAAACATTACCAGTTCACATGATTTTGCTTCCCTGAATAAGAAAATCAATAGTAAGAATCTTCTAGTGCATTACAGTCCAAACAAAAAAGACCACATTGGTTGCGGCCTTAGTCCCTCAAATAGCCTTTTAGGAAAGGAAACATCTTTCCAGACCAAAAGAACCATAATTAGACTAGCCTCAAAACCTCCCAGATTTAGAAGCCATCCAAAACAGAGCATCTGCCTCCCCCTAAACAAACTCCGGTAGAGCATCCGAAGAAGCCTGAACAAGTCTTCCACCTCCAAATCGTTCAACTCGCTATGAAACAAAATGTCCTAAAAAAATGATCCTCCTCTATCCTGAAATCATCAATAATTGTAGCTCCTCTACCGACCATAATCCTGGCCAAATACCTGAAAAAACAGCTCCAACCTCTCCTCCCATACCAAAGATGATGCCATGAACAGATTGTCTCAATTCTCCTCATTTGTTCGTTAAATTGTTGGAAATGGGAGGGAAATCTGTTTTTGGGAAGTTGCTTGGAGTCATGAGGTTCCATTTCTACATTTGTTTCCTAGATTGTATCGACTATATCAATCCCGTGTCTATTGCTTCTTTAGTTTCATCTTATTCCACTCTAATTACTTGGAATTTCAATTTCTTTCAAAAATATGATGATCGTGAGGTTAACAAACTTGCTTCTTTGTTATCTATACTTGAGGGTGTTTCTTTCAGGCAGAGTGTGGTTGACAAGAGATTATGAACTATCCATTCATCTGATGTTTCTCTTGCAAATTATTTTAATATGGATAGTGATGATCCACATGTACCTATCTTCGGCCCTCATACGATGACATGCTTGAAGATCAAGAGACCTAATTGCTATTCACATCCACAACTGTACATTATGTTGTGTGTAGGAGGGAGGAGGAGAGTATTAATCATTTTCTCATGCATATCCATGTAGCTCTGGCCTTATGATGGAGGTTGTTTCGATTAGTAGAGTTGGAGTGGATATTAGCTTACTCTAATGTTGATGATTGATTTCAGATAATAAAGTTCGAGTTCTTTAGAATAGTGAAGTTTGTCCAATGTTTCAAGTTATTTGGTTGGAATTTGGAAAGGAATACAAGAAATTTTTAAGATGTTTGAAGACATTATGGGATATGATTTGTTATTTTGCCCCCTTTTGGGATTCAATGTCTCCATCCTTCAAGGGGATTGTTTTGTCCTTGAATAGTAAGGATTGGAGAGTAGTGTGCAAGATGTACTTTTTTTGTACTTCTCTTCTTTCCCTTATTAATAAATTTTTCTTTGTTGTTGAACAAAAAAAGAGTGGCTAAATGGGAAAGGAAATCCATGAGGGAATAAACAAATGTAGAGCATGGAGCTCCTTCCATAGTACAAATAAGATGAGCAAATTAATAAGGCCCAAAAAAAAGTTGAATAAAAACTTCAATTTGAATCACAGTAATAGGATTCCTTCCAAAAGTGGGGAGGAGTCTACACAACACTCGAGAACATATAAGCAACATCACAGCTTTAAGATCAAGAAGGAATAATAGGTCACCTGAAATTCTTTGACACATTTGATGAATTAGCTCCATTATTTGCCTTTCCTTGCATTGAAGGCATCTTTGCAGCATTCCTCTGAGGAGAATATAACAGAAAGGAACCAGCTTGACCATCAGTTTCTTGAGCTGCTTCTGCAACCGCTGCACCCAGTGCAATTGCAGCAGCAACTGAATCGGCTGCATAGTGACCATCAATATTGCACATAATCCACTCAACGGCCTTTTTTACTTCAGAGGCCCGCACTAAATGTGCCTGCAATCACTAAAGGAAAAGAATCAAATTACATTGCAACGAAATAATGATTAAAATTTAAAATTAAATTTGGTACCAGACTACTACAGTATTACATACTACTACAATAATTATGCATATCCACTTTCGCAAAGGAGACACAATGAAACATTGGAAAACTTTACCAGATAAAAGGAAAACTGGATTACAAGGGTGATGTAGTTATTTGGCAAGATTCTAGTTTAAAACCTTCCTAGGGAATTAACTGGTTTTAGGCTCAAATGTTTTTTTTTTTATAATATTTTCTTACGATTTATATGTCGGGGGGGCAATTTATTTAACTTTTTATGGGCTGTAAAGTGGACTGCTGTTAGCTCCCTGGACATGAGGGTTGCATGATTGGTTTGTGGTGGCACCTTGCGCCCATGTCAACCAGACCAAGGCATGAGGGAGGCATGCCTAGACAGCAAGGTGGATGCATGACAGTGACCAAGTGGCAGCGGCACTTAGCCTGTGGACAAGTATGGGCAGCATAGCAAATGCAAGGCACAAGATGGACTTGGACCGAATGCTTGGCATGGCTTGCTTGTGGGTTCATTACAATCAGTGGGCGAAGACTTGCACTTGGTTTGACAGCAAGGCGTGGTGAGCACTTGGCTCGACAGCAAGGAGCAGTGGACTTGCCCTAATTACAAAAGTGCACCCTTTTTTCTCACCGATTTTTTTTTCCCCTTCTAAGAATGAGTACATAAAAATGAAGAAATAGAAGTCTTTTCAGGAGAAAATTAATGGTAGCACACCAAACATTACAATTTGATAGATTTAAAACAATATTTTGCTCCATTACCCGTCCATATTTTAGAGAAACTCACTCTCGTATCTAGCGAAATGATGCAAATAGATTGAACCCTTATGCCAAACTGTTGCAAATAGAAGTAACAAATAGGCAGATAGACCCAACCAACCAATGAAGTTTATGGACACTTGAAATCAGGAAATAGAACAAGAACCGAGCACAAACAACTTCTACTGTATGATATTAAGTACACTAGAACCAATAAACATAATATTCTAGCATAGCACTGGAGCTAGAACTAATATTAAGGCAGCAAGTGATGCTTCTTCCCCAAACACAAGGGGAATACATGAATCTGGGACTATTCCAGATCTGGACAAGCAAAACAACAGCTTTGATGACCTCTTCGCGCATACAATAGCATCAGAGAGATCGGTAGACAACACATGGTCGAATCCTGAAAACCCTAGCCTCCAACTCTTCAAAGCACCAACTGGTTAGGAGTTGTAGCTCTCTGGAGCGGTCCTTCACTCAAATCTGTATTTTCTCAGCAAAAGACCCTTTCTCTGCAGATCAGCACCTTTTTTATATAAAGCCAAGCCAACTCAAAACTTTTGCACTAATTGTCCAAAATACAAAACATTCCTCTGACACCCTCAAAAATATTACACAGATAACAACCCACACCCCAAAGACCCAAAAACCTTCAAATAGATTCAGCCAGGCCACTTTAGGCTTAAAAACTAGAAATGATACAAACGCCCTTTTACGAATGGCATCCATAAACATTACCCTATATACAGATTATACGGTTTGCATCAAGATACCTCAACACATTCAAAAATATGCTATCACTGCAAGCTTACCCATATCTTAAAGTATTATTAGAGTATGTCACATACCACATTTTATTCTCAACAACTTAATTAACTTTGGTTTGAATACAAACAAACATCAATAAAGAAAACCTAAGCGGTATAAAAGGAATGGCCACGTCTACATTACCCGTACAATATTGAAAATAGCTGCCAAAAGTTGAACAAAGCTTTCAGATGACAAGCTCCTTAACTTGCTTGCAAGCGATGAGCCACCACCTGAGTCAGCATAAGTGAGTAAAAACAAAAAACAGTAAAAGACCATCGCACACTTGTTCCAACTGTCAAACACGGGCTGTGTAGAGATTCAAGCAAGAAAATAAACAGGGTTGACTTGAAATAATATTTGCACCACACTTTTTTATGTAAATACTGATAATCAGTTTAGATTGTTTAACCCACCATCTGCATCCACCATTCGTTCTCCTGGTGTAAAATCTGACTCCAAAGGTCGGGTGAGAAGAACAGGAAGGAGGTCTGCAACTGCAGTCTTGATAGCAGTTTTCATATCAGCAGTAAGTGTATCACAATATATTCTCAACACATACGGTAGTTTTGCCTGAAAATAACCAGTATTCTTTGAGAAATTTCCTAAATTGGACATTGACCAATCCAACTTTGACAAAGTGAAATCAGTAGCTTCAGATAGGATTGTCCATGGGGGGAAAAATAACAATAACAATTTAGCAAATAGAATTGACAATAATGAGATAACAAGTTGAGAGTTGAGCAACAAGAATAAATCTTCAAACTGAAACAAAAATCCATTAAACCAGCTGAAATATTTTAGTTTCGTAGGAAACCAAAACAAAACATTAGTGGAATAATGAAATTCCAATGTTTCCGCCAAAACATACAGTAACACATCAAAACACAATGAAACATACCGAAATTTGTTTCACAATCAAATAGTAATATCTGACAAAGGACATTTCAATTCGCCTTTTTTTGCCACAAAAAATAAAAATAAAAAAGGAGCTGAGAACCAAGAAAAATATTAAATTTATTAGAGAATTTGAGAAACTAAAAAGGAGAAGAAATACAGAAGATAACGACATTATTTGAGTCTCTTATTTTCTTACTTTATTACTGCAAGGTACTTTTTCTTTATAAATATTATTACTGGCATTTTTTTTTTCATCCCTATAGCTACTAGACTTCTTTTTTTTTCTTTTTCTTTTTTTTAATAATGTTTTTTTACTTATAATGAACAACTTCCTTTCCCAACTAGGCCTTTAAACTTTTTGTTTATAAGTTTTTAATATTCACGGACCTCAGCATGTTCACTTATTTGATTATTGATATTGTAGTAACTTTTAAGGAGGTTTTACTTTTTGCTTCCAGGCAATTTTCATATGTTTTCAAATTCTTTTATCATCTCCCTTATGTTTCCAGAATGCTATCAAAATGTATCTATTTCCAAGCAAACCAAAACAAAATACCAAAACGAAATTTTGATCCTTGGCTAACAATTGCAAATATGTAGGTAGAACTCAAAGGACAGCCACTTTGTGCAAATAAAGATGGAAGTAGGGTCTGTGCCCACCCATGAGGTAGGGGAACTCAAAATTGACAGGATCACAACTAAGGGCCTTATTTCTTCTCTTACATCCTTCTAATTACCATACAAACGGGCAGAAACATCTCAAATCCTTCTTAAACAACATCTCAAGGTTCACAACATAACACCAAATTCTTTTTCAGACATTATACCTGTGGGAGCAATTCTGACTGGGCAAGCATAGCCCATTGGGCTGCCAGGTTATGTCTTGGGCCCGCAATGAGCTTGTGCGATGGCTCAATATAAAGGCTTACTTGAGTGACCAAGTGGGGCTAGTCAGGGGCCCAGTGAGATTGAGCCCAGTTTGGGACTGGGCAAATGAAGCGAGTTGTGAATCATCGACGACCCAGGTGTCGACTGGCACAGCCCAAATCGGCTTCCAAATAATCAGGTTCGGCTCGGTTACCTAGAGCTAGGTTGGGTTCCCATGATCAATGACACAGTCAAACGGAGAAGAGCAGTGTGCTCGGTCAGCAAGCCGGCCCAGTTTCATGGTCCCATTGATTCGTAGAAGATGCAAGTACGACACTAGGTCTTTGGGATCAACATTATCCGCAATGGTAGGAGTCCTTACTGGACAAGAATCCCATGCTAGATCAAATAGGTGGTGAACAAGGCCATAAAAGAAGGCAGAAGCGACAGAGAAAGGGATTCAACCTAATTACTCTTGTATGTATTCTCGCTCTGCTCCATGTGTTCCTTTCCCACATATAGATCCCAGTTCTTATCTTTGAATGTCATTTGTTACTTTTATAATGATTCTTATTATCTGCTCTACAATTTTCACAGATTTCATGACCTCTGACCACATTCATATCATTCAAGCAAACTGTGTGATCGCCCAATGGTCATGAAAGCAGCAATCTTAATGAACAAAGCGAAAACACTGCAATTTGTAGACGCAGTCCAATTTAAGTGAACATAGGCCAATCAAAGAATCCAGTGACCCACATTAGTAGAAATACTTGTAGCAGACAGCAGTAAACTTTTTACTGTAATGTGAGGTTGATCCTCCTCACATGACAATTTTCATCCTTCTATCTTCGACCGTCTTTTTAAATTCAAATATTTTCTGATTTTTATCCCAGTAGAAAGATTAAGAGAGAGAGAGAGAGAAAGAAAGGAAAAAAATAAATAAAGCCAAATAGAAAGATTAAGATATTAAATAAAAATAACAGAAAAAATTTGTAATAAATGCTACAATGTGCATTCCACAGGCCAAAGCAAGTAAAATAAAAACCTAAGAAGAATAATGTGCATGAAAAAACTATTACACCTGCACAACATAGTTCAGATAAATCCATAACAGGAAGTGTCAGACATGAAGACTGCAAGTAATTACTTACTGTTCTCAGCAACCCGATTATAAGAGGTAGGAGTCGATCTCGAAAACTTGAGGTTTCTTCTTCATCTAATTTAATCTGTTATCAAGTCAACCCCAATCATCAGTTCAATAATTTAAGCAAAGAACCTGTTCCCAATATCAAACACAAACTTGCACAGATTTAAGGAAAAAATAATCAAACACAGAGGAAGTGGACAACATTCTAAACATATCACATTAGAGCACTGATGATAAACTTTTAAGAAAGGACAAAAACATTCTAAACATGCCTAACTCAAAAAGTCACTCAGCCAGCCCAGTATCTTGTATTTGAGGCATCGAGGAGACAAACAATTGCAGCCCCAAAAGGAGAAGCCAATAGATATCAAAGATGGAGCCACACAAGCTAAAGGAGACATTGTTGTCCAAAACTTAATTACGAAATGGTGTGGGTGAGCAAATGAAAAACTAAATACCATGTAGATGTTATACAACAGCAGCAATCTCAAGATAGCATTTACTTTAAGTACATAATTGGTAATGGTTGATTCAGTACTGGCATCTTAGATGGTCATCAAAGCATGCAGTTATGGATTGACATAACAGCACAAATGAGCCAACACGCAGAAGGAATATTTGAAAGCTTCAAAATACAAATTGTACAGCTATTCAATAACTTAGGCTATTGTTTGAAATGTCTTAGGATTTTTAGTAGATTCCAATGCGACTCTTCCTTTTTTCATTTTGCCCAGCCATACAATTTCATATTTTGCCATCCTAATTTTTTTGACTAGTTGACATTGTAATGTGAAATTACCTTTGTAAGATTAAATAACATGCCAAAAAACAAGATTACTTCAAATAAATTTTTTAAAAAGACTGTCCAATGAAATTTCCTTACTATTGATAAAAACCACATCTTGAACCTTCCTTTCTATCTCTATTTTCTGTAACCCATAAACATGACCAACTTTTTCCACCACTATACCAGCATCCACCAACATTCCATGCCCAGAAGTCTCTACAACAAGGTTTTGAAATGCGGTTGTGGTCGCCGTAACAGTTGCGGTAACGCGGTAGCGGTTGCGGGGTGTAAAGGCCGTAGCAAAATGGTTGTGGTAACCAGAACTGTGATTTTTTTTATTTTTTGCACAATTTGAAGAAAACTTACCAATACACATACATATATTTTTTTCAAAATCACATTTATTGAGATTTAAAATAAATTTTGATCAATTTTTGTTAATTTTTAAGCATGATCCAATATATTTCATATTTTCAAATCACTATAAAAAGAACTTTTTACATTTTATTTCAATAGTTAATTATTTTAAGAATAATTGATTTTAAATGTCTACAAATTATTTTTTACTAATAATGATTTCACAATTATTAAATGAAAGGATTATAAAATAAAAATTGTGCCACAAATTATATAAAAAAAAAAAATCATATAAGATTTTTTCTTTGAGTTTGGATCACTTGAGTATTTGTTCTTTTTTGTAAGTTTTTGTTTTTGTTTTTTTTTTTTTTTTTTTTTTTTTTTGGAA